TGAGACCAGAAAACCTGACCAAGACATAACTGGACTTGGAGGTCAACGGAGAGGTTTCTGATGAAGTAACAACCATCCTATAACGGGGCTTTTCCTGAATATTCTAGACTTTGAAGTCTTTGTTGTTTGTAATACAGAGTGGTATTTGTACGGTTTGAGTTATTGTGTGTAAACTTTCACACGACAGAGACCGTTTTGTTCAACCTGAAGTTTAAACTCTTTAGGGGATAGTAACAGTTCCAAAGGTATCCCCAGAGGAATGCAGATGCTTTGTAATGAACTGTAAGTGCTGTGCTCTTTCACTCACGTTAACTCAAAATTGGCACAGTGTGAATGGCCAATGGGTCTCCTATCGCACCATTGTCAAGAGAAGAGTGTCATGGCAGAAGTCCTTCATGCTACTTTCCCCTAACGGCAATAGAGGTATGGAGGAGATGAGTTAGAACTCCCTTCTTTATTCTAGCTTTCACCTGACTCTTTGGTCAGAGGAGTTCACTTATTCAACTTCAGTTCAGTTCAACTGTTCACTTTTTTTAAATCTGAGTTTTCTGACAGTGTAAAGACTTGCTCTAGCTGACAAATGGGGCAGAATTACTGCAAGAAAAACGTCAGGAGAGAAGGAGGGGGAGACTGTCATTTTCAGCTATGGTGGTAATCAACAGCAATCAATGATAATGAACATCTTGTAAATCTTTATCCTAAGAAAACATGGAAATGATATGCTCTATTCCATTGCATTACTGAGCGTGAAGTCCTTCCATATGACTTCAGAGGATGAAGATGCAAGCTCTAATAGGACCAGATGAAATGTTAAGGCTTATACAACAAAGTTACCTTGAGTGGCTGCTTTCTTTGGCTCCAGAATCTACTTTAGAGAATAAAGTAGGAGAAATAAGAAGTCAAAGCAGCCTTAGGAGAAGTGAGTGTGCAGCTGAGTTACCAGCTTTCCAGGTTAGTTGGGATACTGAAGCAGCTAAGAATTAAATTTTAAATGGAAAACTGTAATTGTGTTTTTTTTTTTTTTTTTGGGCAATTGTTTCCAAGTGTTCTGCTGAACAGAGCACAAAATGTTTGTGTGAGAGTCAGTCAGAAGGAAATGGGAAATCCATGGAGTTTCATATAGATGTGAGGGTCTCTAGACCTCAGTCAGGTGCTTTAAACTGCAGAAAGGGCTAATTTAGGTACTTGAAAGGATGAAGGTCAAAGGTCCAGAGAACAGCCTCCTTTTACAGCTGGTAAAAGGTGTGTTGAAAATGGTCTGTTTCTCATATAATGCCAATGAAATATGAAGACAGAAGAGCCAAATAAGTGTATCAGTAACTCCTTATTTTGATCCATCTGTATGTTAAACACCTCTCATGACCTTTTGAGGCCTGGCTAATGAATAGGCAGTTATCATTCATTGCTATTGTTGAATGTTTACATGTAAAATTCTAGCAGCATAGGTAGTAATTGACATGTAGCTTTCAGTATCAAAACTGCTATGTACCATGTAAGTCATATGCATGCCTGGGATTGGCAGCTAATACTGAAGAAGTGTTGGTTCATATCAGAATGTTAAGTAAGGTAAATTCCAAGACTAAGCAAGACACAGTAAAAACTTACACGAGATTTTTCAGCTTCCTTTCAGGTGTCTGAATTGGTACTTCCTAAGGAAATCCCATTTTGAGCAATGACCTTTCATTTGCTGTCTGATATCTCTAAAATGGGAAGAGAGAATCGGTTATATCTAGCACACATTACTAAATGTTTTAAAATAATCTAGTGAGTGAAAATATATATTATTATTGAAGGCCATCTTTTGTTGCCCTGTCAAAATCTCTCCAACAGTAGAGTAGCAAATATTTCAAATAAAGTTAATTTAATTTCTGTCTTAGTCCAAACAAAAAGGTACACTCATGCATGCCTCACATTTCCGGTGATAACTAGGTATTCAGGAAGTAGAACTCTTCTGTGTAGGCTGTATGTTTTTCTTTGATATTTTTAAGTAATAAGGCTAAAATGCCACCCTGAAAGAGGTACATTATGCACTATTTTAGGTTTCGAAATGTCAGTAGAAACAAAGTCAGAGCTCGTGTACTTTTGGACAGTAAAAATTTCTTTTAAATGTCTTGTTTATTTGTTTATTTTTGTTTTCACTAACTGATCTAATTATATCTTCTGTTTTGCCAGTTATTGTTTCTTTCTTTTTTTTTTTTTTTAAATCCCTACAGACTTACTGTAATTCCTGCTTCTCTAACTTTCTAGGGCCATTTTCTGATTGGGAACCATGGTGTATCAGAACTTGAGCTGTTCAGCATGTTTACAGCCAATAGCTTACAGTAGTCTTCCTGTAAACATTATTAGAACTGGATCTGTAGCCTTAGCCGATAGGGTTATGGTAACTATAGCGGTATGAAAAAGTTTATTTTCCTTCAATTTCTGTTGCTTGACACTTCTCTCCTAGCAGCCGGAATTATTTTCCATGTCTTTCAGGCAATTGTGTTGTTTTGGATGATTAGTTCCTTTGCTAAGCTCTCCATTAGCTCTCAGAGTGTTTTCTGTGGCATTTCTGAGCTCATGAATGAGGTAGCTTTGGTGCTTTCATTTAAAGGAGTGCTCTTTATAGACAGTCTTGGGCAGTGTTTGAAAAAACATCTTTTGTTTTAGGCAATGCACACATGATTCAATGCTTTCTCTGTTTTTTCTCTTTTCATTTCAGTGGCCAAATGTTCTCACAATTCCACCCCCACCCTGCTTCAAAGCTGATTGTCACCTCTTTGGAAATATAGCAACCTCTTCCATGTTTTATCTTACTTCAGATTATTCTGGCTTTAGCCTTTAATTTGATCTTTTTTATTGATTAGTTGAATGGATCAGTAAAGTATCTCTAATGTAAAAGAAGTGTTGTCATTCAGCAGTAGCAGTGACATTCCCATACAAAAAAATTTACCTGTTATATTTATACTAAGAAACTATCTGGAAAAGGGATACCTCTACTATACTTAAAATATATATTTTCAGGGTGTAGTATTTAGATTTTGTAGTTGCAATGGGTAGAAAAAACAACAAGACTTATCAATGCTTATTTCAGGACGTAGAAGTATCTTTATTCAGTGTTTGAAATATATTATTATGTGCTTTTTGAACATTAATCAGTGTTTTTGTCAAGGCCCTATCAGTTTTGTCTAAAGCATTACGCGTAAATGAACTTAAATGTAGCCAAAAGTTTCATTCATGTTTAGGTGAATTGAAGGGTAGGGATGTGTTTGAAGCTAGAGCAGTATGGACCTGTTTTTGTTTAGCTGGTTGCTTCTATCAGTGAAATAATAAGCAATATATTACTTTTTCTTAGGCTTTTAGTCACTTATGTCATTCCTGAGGCATTAGATAATAATTTTTGTCCCATATGGCAAATACAGTGCTCTCTTGTGATTCTTACCTGACAGTTGAAAAATGATAATGTTTTGATGGAGCAGTTAGATCTTTTCTTTTGATTTATACCCATCAGGTTTTGTTACTGGTTTGTCATTTTTCATCAGCAGATGAGATCCTTTAAACATGGGAAACCAAAGAACTGTATCAATACATTGGTGGGGTTTGTTTTTTTTTTTTTGAAGTTTTAATCCAGATAAATCCAGCTTCATCCGTATCGTCAGCTGGACCCATGTAACACATCAGTGGAGTTTTATTGAACAACAGAAACATATGTTCAGATTTTATTTGTGTAGGCTTGTTAAGATGCAGAAAAGAAGAACAAAGGCAGGACTGAAAATTACATGTGCAAATTACAGTACTACATGCAAGTAGTTTTCTGCAGTATGTTTTTACTCAGGCCTAGTTTCTATAAAATGTACAATTACAGGAGTAGTATGACCAGAATAATTGCTTTAAATGTGGGAGCACTTGAAATTTAGTAACTTCTGAATTCATTATGAAATCATCATGTTGCCTTCAAATAAAGACTCTTTTGCCCATCAGTTTGCATTCATAGAGGTTCTGTATGCTTCTTTCAGGTTTAAAAAGGATATTTTTACATTGGCAGAAGCAACGCAAGTATATAGTCCCACTATGTAATGTTTCATCTTTTGTCCTAATGCACCAAATTACAACGTTTCCTAAATAAGGAGATAATCTATTTATTCCTTCCTATGAATCCAGTTCAACTCTTGTTAGCTGATGTAAATGTTAGCTCTTCAGTGATTAGTGAATCCTAAACACAGACGTTGGAAGCTCTGAACTCCCACGTTTCCAGGTTGGTGAACTTTTTGCTCGTAGTAGCAGCCATTGTAATTTGGAAATCATCAAGCCTTCAAGAAACTTTGGCAAATGTTTGGTGCAGCTTTCAAAAGCATCGTGGCGTTATTGTGGAGGCAGGGAAGCTTAGACAAGAAAAGTGGATATTAGTGTACCATCAATAATACTTTTAATGTGTTTTACTCCTACTGCTGCCCAAAATGTTTCAGGAAAAAGAGGATGTAGCATCTGAAGATCTCTGTTATCTTTGAGGATAAAGTAGTAGCACAGAGTTTGGAAGCTGTGGTGTTACGTTCTCTCTACAAAGAGAGAGGAGGTCTGGAAAAAACTGTACATGTACGTCTTTTTTTCTTCTCTGGGTATAGAACATAAAAGCAAGTATTTAGGCTCCCAGGATCTCTGACAGAGGCCTACAGTGAATGAGAAATGAAATTTTCTTGCTATTGGATGACATGCTGCTTAAATACCTTAACTGATGTTGAACACCTTTTGGCTACAGGTAGTTGCAACATAGTTTGGTAAATATGTAAAACTTTGCATCACAGGGATACTTCCACTATTGCCTGGTTAACTGTCCCACTCCCATAGCGTCCTAGAGCACTCGAGAATGGATGAACAACTCGAGTATGCTCATTAGCCAGGAGGGATGTCTGAGCGAAAAGCTTCTTTACTGAGACGTTTCCTCTTAAAATATATTCATTACATTGCTATAAGTATTTAAAATGTGCTTTTTATGTTGTCTTTTTACATAACTTAGTTAAAAGATGGAGTACCTGAAAATCAAAAGAGGTAATGCTAGTGTTAAGATGATCCTTTAAAAATAGGTGTTGAGAGGAGGTTAATACAACATGAGAAAGGTCAGGTTTTCATTAAAACCTAGCATTGCTAAAAAGTGAGGGGAGCTGGCATGCTGAACTGAAAGCCATATTCTTAAATATTACGTCTTTTGGGGGGATATTTATTTTTTCTAAACTACTGATGAGTTACAACCAAGCAGACAGAAAGAATGAGAAAGACTGCTAAATCCCATAGGAGTGGGAAAAACAATGATTTTCCAACTTTAGTTAGTATTATCTGAACCTGAAAAAGACAGGTGAAGTGAGGGCACAAATACATACCTGTCTTTTGTTTCCTGGCTTGAGCTAGTATTCATTTTTCCAAGTGCAAAAAAGGAGCTACTTACATTTTTAACCGGCAGCGGATATTATATTCTGAGGCATGTCTTCTGAGTTCTAGCTAGCAAATGCTTAACTGTGATTGTTAGGTGTCTTTTTTCTCTATGAGGAAAAATATTTTTGGTTAATTGTTACTTATACATCATTATAAATTTACAGATTACAAGCGTATAAAAATAAATGAAGGACTGATATGCTGGAAAGCTTGCCATTTTTTCTAGTCGTAGCAGTTGCTCCAATAAAATATATTACTTCTCCCTACAAACGTTATCCCACAAGTGAAATGTCTGTTCTCTGGGGATTTACACCTGAATGTTTCATATACAGAAGTCTTGAGGTAGAACAAGCCTTTAAAGAACTTGATGTTAAATGAAGCAAACAGCTGTGATTTTACATTTCTGAAATTGAAGCATGGGTGTTTTGTTTTAATCATCAATAACTGTTTACTATTCACGAAATTTTCTGATTCAGGGAAGTTTTGACTTATAGTCACAAATGACTGTAGCGTTATATAAAAGAAATTTCATCTTATATTCCTGATGAAGTGGCTGTGAATTGTGATGGGGGGCTGTCTAACTGAGAATGTGTGCTCCATGACTGATATATGGATCGTTTTCTTAGTTGGCTTGGCATTACAGTTCAAGAGCTAAATCCTGCTTTGCTAAGTATTGCATAAAGCCATATATACTCTGTAATAACACAGTCACTGCTCTAAGTCTGTCCTTATCTATTTAGTATATAAAGTGTTTAAAGGAGAGAGGAATTAAGTACTCGTCTCTATTTGTAAATAAGAATTTGAAAGAAAAGAAATAAGTGAATTACCTGATGTCCTATAGTGTGAACCGAGTTCATCATTTTCTAAAATTGAGCCCATATCTTCTGATTCACAGTTCAGATGTTCTCTCTCAGCTGCAAATCTCTCAAATATCTTTTCTGACATCAGCTGCATCAGAGGGATGCAGCATTTATATCTCTGCATTTTTGGTTAGAAAGTCTCCTATTTTTTTTTATGAAGACAGCTGAATGAAATGTTTAAAAAAGGAGTATATGGAAAAAATACAGTAATGTTCTTTCCTCATTTTCAATGTAGCGCTGAGTAACTCAGTGAATTCTTGAAAGACTTCCCGAAGTATTTTAATTTATCGGGGATTTTTTTTTTTCATTTCATTTTTCTAGAGATGAGTGTATATTAAATGTTCTTATTTAATTTTTATACCTGTTCAGAACTCGTCCGGTTTTATGTAGCTGCTGGTGTATGTTGACAAGCCAGGTTTGCTGAGGTTTTTATTTCAATTACTCGGATATTTTTTGGTTGTGCTGCGTATTGCTTTGTGATATGTGGCATCATTGTTAGAATTCAAAAATGCTGTCCTAAGAGCTTGATCCCGCACACTATACGAAATATAGCAAGAGCTCTTATGTTGATTGAAAAGTAATGAAGTTGTGTATGCTAGGAAATAATTTAGGATGAAGTGTGTGATTAGTATTTGAAGCCTTGCCTCTACTGGGAATTTCTAATAGAGGCTCCCTGTACTGCTGTAGAATCCTAAAGTATAGCCAGGCTAAGATGCTGTTTATAATTTGCTATTTAAAATTGTAGTAAACAGTTCTGCTGCAAATTATGGCATATAGTAGTTTTGGCTGTTTATGTTAGGTAGCTGCTTCCGGTGGCTGAGTTTGGGTTAAGAGTTCAAGCTAGACAGACGCTGAAAATATATATGTGTGTGTGTGTATATATACATATATATATACACATATATATATACATACACACACACACACACACATATATTGAATACATTTAAAATATCAATCAGTTAAATATTTTCTTTTATGTTGTTTCTTGTGGCTAATGATGTGTTTTTTTTGCAGAGCGTGCTAGTGAAAGCATCCATCAGCTGAAATATGCCTTGGAGGAAAGAGAGTTTGCAGAGGGTGAGGGTGAAGCTGGATTGGACCAGTCCTCTCTGGACAGGGGTGATGATGAGAGGGGGAATTCTGCTTGGCAGGAACTGCAGCACAGTCATGCAGGTAAGATTATTCTGAAAGCAAATAGTTTCAGAATTGCTAGAAATAATTCCATTCAAACAAGAAAGACTGTTTGTTTATTAATCTCTCTCTCTCTCTCTTTTTTTTTTTTTAAATCTCTTCTTAGTTAATCAACTTAAAACTTTGTTGCAACATCAGGAGAGAATGGAAAGTGAAGCCTCCCTGTCCAGGAGGAGGATGTCATTCTCTGTATGTATTGCTGCCTTGTTTCTTTGTGTTATTTGAATGAACACCATGCATGCTGAGATCAGATACCTAGTCTCAGAAGAATAAGAAACCCCAAATGATTTTAATCTTCTGAAATGCAGGAGATCTTCAAGGATGTGGCCAGAACTGAGTATGCTTATGACCATAGCAGAAGAACAAGAAAGTCCTTAATACAGGATTTAGACCTATCATCTCCTTTTTAGTTTGTCGTCCGGTGTGGATGGCAGACCCTATTACTTCCAGCTTTCTCACCTCTCCACCGAAAGTCCATCCTTTTTGTTTTGAAACCATTTGAGATTGACTGCGTAGACAGATTTCCTGTTAAGAGCAGCCTCTCCTTTCCTTCACCACTCTAGTGTGAGGATTCAGGAAGGCTTTCTTATGCTGCAGCCATGCCTTTTCTCCAGAGGATTGGAGAGGTCCATGTAACAACAGTTTCTGTAGCTGTTTACCAAATGAAGTGGTTCTCTGGCAAAGTTAGTTCATTACATGGGAGGGACACCCTTACAGAAGCTTCTCAGATTTATCTTTCTCACAGCAGAATTGCACCGAAGTAGGCCAAGGAGGACCGTTCAGTTACTAGTATTTAGCAGTTGTTTTGTATCCCTATAGGGAAAAGAATTTAAAGGCATTGTTCCAGCTGAATCTTAGATGGCCTCCACTGACTACTTTGTTTGGTTTATAGTAAACAATGCCAGTGACTCTTCCCTGTGAAAAGATAAGGTGGTAGTAGAACCATTTGAAGCCTCTGTTTCCAGATGCGTCTTAGCTAAACTAACTGCACCCAGCACAGGTTCAGTACAGGCGGAGTTCCTTGTGACTGATTCCCATCATTTCTTGCCGTTTTATAGGGTAGCAGGTTTAAGACTGCCTGATTTAAAATGTCTTTAATTCCTGGGGTTTAGAGGTTTGAATTTTGAGGCATTCTGGAAAAACACAACTGGGTCAACATATTAGTGGTGGCAAAAACATTTGCTACTCTGTAGAAAACTAGCTTCTAACGCTGCTAAGCGTTTGTGTTTCATGAACCTCTGTTTACATGGTAAACTTTTGAATATTAAGAATGCAAATATGAGCAGCATTTCTGAGACTCGGGCGTAGATGTTTGCTATTTCATACTGATTGGGTGTGTCTTTCAGTTTTGATTTTAATATTTGGACTAGTTTAAATATTTACCTGCCCAGCCTCTATTATTTCACCTTCTAATGCATGTTATTTTGAGCTGTGATCAGAATGTTAAGTAGAAGCTCCCTAATTAAGAGATAACAATTGTGTAACAAAAGTAAAAAGAAAACAACAAATTATCTAACAGACTTTTGTCCCCTCAAAGGGCAGATAGAAACATTTTGAATAAAGAAATATCACAGTGACCGTATTATCGGTTGTGTTAATAAGTCCTCCTTTATTCTTCTGTCAGGAAAATATATTACTTACTTACTCTTTTCCCTTTAGTGAAACTTTTTTTTTTTTTCCAAACACTCCGGCATATATTATACCAATGGGAAGTTCCTCACTTTAAATGTTAGTGCTGTTCTTCAGTGAAAAATAATTTGAATATAAATGGAGTTTTCCCCCATTTTCCCTGCTGTTATTTGATTTGATTTGATTTTTTTTTCAGTGATTAGTTGGAGTTGCTAGCAGGAAGGTACCCGCTACACTTTCAGAAAGCAGTTAGGGATGAGAGGGAGCTGGAGGAATAGAGAGATAAATTACAAATATTCTTGGAAGTATAATACATGTACTCTTAACTTTGCTTTCTGAAATTAATAGACTGTAAAGCAAGGTGAATTCTGGTTCACTGGAACTTGCAATTTAGATGCTGAGGGCCAGAACTCGCTGCAAATTCAGAGTCAGTTCCATGAATGTTTTTCTAGATTGTCCTGGAAAACCATCCATTTGTCGTCTCAGTTCTTGTTCCAGGTTCCTCAAGATCCTCACTGAGGGAGCGTGAACGGTTATGTCAGGACTGAGATTCAGAAGAATGTCTTTTTGTTTCTTTGCTGCTTTCTTCTGCATTTTGAACAAGCATATTTGTTGAACAGTTTCCCTTTTCTTTCAGAATGGAAAATAATTCTTATCTCAGTGGTAGTTTTAGACTAAATACAAAGCTTTAATTAAGAATAGTTAAATAATTACTTCCAACTATCTGGTGTTTGTCTTGGGTGTTTTTTTTTTTTTTTGTTATTGCAATGAGAATTTACTTAGGGTTTTTGTTTTAAATCTGGAACGGTATCCAGAGACTTTCAGCATAGAGTAGATCTCTATAAATACAATACCCATTCACCTTATGTTCATAAATGTCTGTTTCAGATAAAATTGCCAAATATACTTTTCGTATATGATTTTAAATCCATCTGCAATGATGAAAGGTGGACATGGTAACCTTGTATCAGTCTTATTTCTTCTAAAGCATGAAACAAAGTTTAAAATATTTTGATTTGTTCATAAAATTACACGCCTTTATATAATCAAAATTTAGGTGGGGTGGGATTTGGTACAAAGGCTTTGATTGCTAGAAACTTTTGCTGTCTTTACAGGTCTGGTTATTCATCATCCGTGTACAATACACTTAAACATTACAGTAGGTTTGTTTGGTGGGGTTTTTTTGTTTGTTTGTTTTCTTTTTTTTTTTAATGAGTTAGTGGTTTTTTAGCTTTATCCTGAAAGGTAAGACAGGCATGTTAACACCTTATTATGGTGAAAAACATTCATTCTTGTCAAATGCTGAACCTATAGATATAATGACTATAAGATGTTACAGCTAGCCATTAGTAGCTTGATTTTTAATGTTGAACGTTTTAAAAATAATTTTTAGAAATAGAGGTGTTGATTTCTGAGCTTTGTAGGAGGTCCTGGAGACTGGAGTTGTAACTGTTTAGCTAGCTTTTGAAAATAGAATCTAGGGTCTTAAAGGCATTAAGCATGTTTGAAAAGCATATCCTTTGCTTCTGAGATCTATCATTGAATCATTTTGTGCAAAATAGGTATGATTCTGACCTAAGATCACAGAAATTAATAGGATTATATCAGTTTCAAACTAGCTGAGGATCAGTATCAAAAGGCCTGTCTTTTCATCCAGCATAGTAAACTAATATTAGAAATGCAACTGTTTTCTGAGAGGCCCTCATTAGCAAACTACCTATGAATTTTGTACCGTTATTAGCGAACAATATGGTGAAGGCACTTTAGCGTATTACAAATGTCTGTCAATCCAATACAGTGATGAAAAATGCAGAGATCTTTTACAGAAGAGGATATATATTCTGCTTGGAAATGGGTCCCAATTTCACTATCCCAGTTTCAATGCTTTAAAAAAAAAAAAAAAGAGACAGACTTGGTGGTTTGCATGGATCAGCTTTCTTCTAGCTTCAGAAATTAAATAATTCATATATGTCAACTAGCATTAGAATGAACTTACACAGTTTTTTCAGTGGATGAAATCTGCCGTAGTGAAAAATCAAACTAAGGTAGTAAGACAATATTGGAGCACCTAAAGAAAACTGATGAGGCTTTGATAGTAACTAGTTTCTTGAATATAGAGGTAGAGTATCCATTGAATATCTTTGTTATTATTCAAAGTTGGTTTCATTGTAGACTGGCATATTTATGGTTAATGTTGATGCTATATTAAAATTATTTTAAGGTATGTCACTTTATGGTATCTAAATAAATTATTATAATGTATACAAATAATATTTGTAGATCTACTCTGTTAGACTAACAAGGACTGTTATTAGTATGATCAAAGAGAGGCTGTAGTTTTCAGGAAACTGTTGAATTGTCATGTTTAAGGATAGATTTATTTACCTTGTTATTTAATCGGTACTATATTCTTAGGAATAAACATGATGAAGTTATAGAGATTGTGTGTTGCTCAAATTTGGTAAAAAGTTTAATCCCTGTTTAAATTCTATTTTAAAAAAAAGCAGAGATGTAATTGTTTATCTTCAATAAACATCTGCTGGGGATTTCCTTCAGTATCTGCATTTGGTAGTTATTCATGAAGATAACAAAACTTTCATCTGTTAGTGGGGTCTTCAGGAACAGAGTTGGAAAGGAAGTGGGAGTTTTTCGGAAGTGCCTTTTAAAATACTGGGTTCTGTAATAAACATAGTCTCTAGTAAAATGTATACAATTGAAATTGCAGGCACAGTTGTGTTTCTGCAGCAATTATGAATTAGCATTTAGAGGTGTGTTCTTTGATGCCTACTCACAACTCTAATGTAAAATTCAAGAGATTGTTGTACTTATTTTCAAGTAGAAAATACGCCCGTATGTTTGTCTAAAACAGGGCATGCATGTAAATATTGGTATGACTATCACTTACAAATCAGGTAGTGGATATGATTTAATCCTGTTTTATAGATATGCTTAGTCGAGCAATTGTACACTTGACAAGAGTGACATTTTTACTTTTTGCATTGATGACTTAACATTATTTCTCTCTTCCCCACAATCAAGTACTTGGTGACTTTTTGTTAACTGTAAATAGTATTCTGTGTGCAACCAATATCTTATTGCAAAAAAACCCCAGATAATCAGAAGATAACACGTACTATTCTTTACTTCCTTCAGAACCCCCCAGAAGCTGCAACTGAGGAATTACCTGCCCTTTCTGATCTTGTTCCTATAATCAACGATCAGTCCCAGTACATTAACCACTTAGAAGCAGAAGTGAAGTTCTGCAAGGTATTTTGTAACATATTTTACCTACTAAAACTGTGATTCCCTAAATATGAATAATTACTTTAAAAATGGCTTACCCTTAGCCTTGAGATGATGATGGTTGTGATGACCAAAACTGACCTCAATGCAGTGCAGTAGATACTCGGCCTTACTGTGCATCTTGGTGCCTTGCGTACTGTTTAAGGCCATCCAAAGACATGCTTACTTTTAGAAATAAGCTCATACTTTTTTTTTTTTTTTTAAGGAAGCACTTTTGTGGCTTAAATTTCCATCTAACATTGTTCCATCTAAAACTTATCTTTTGAGTATCCTTATTCTGTTTAAAAGGGTTAACATAATTGGCACACCAGTATCTTGAGATCTAGACTTCTGGTCTCAACACATATTTAAATGTTGATAGGTGTCTCAAGGAGCCTCTTAGATGCAGTTCGTTTATCTTATAGGAGGAATTGTCTGGGATGAAAGATCAAATACGAGTAGTTGTACTTGAAAATGAGGAACTCCATCAGAAACTGAAATTTTTATCAGCAGAATACACATTGAGAGAACAAAGTCTTCTAGATGCCTCAGTAAGTTCTTATTTTTCTCTTGTTGTTTTAATCAAGGCTCAAGGACCTGATTCCTTTAACTAAAGGCTATGTAAATGGTTGTCCTGTACCTGAATTTTAGTCACAATTTTATGACAATTTCAAAGCGTGGATTGCTGTGGATAACACTGTTGTCAGAGGTTGTCAACTAAATTAAATTCTTTACTGGTTCTTATATGTTACTGTAATGAAAATTTGAATGTTCAATACTTATGTAATAATTGTTAATAAACAGCCTATATAATGAAACTGAATCATTAATATTTTTATTTTAGGCAAATACTCAGAGCTCCTGGCACGTAGATGGTAAAGACTGTAGTGTACTTCAGCCTGTCACCTCATCACCAGCATGTAACAAAAAGCAGGCTTTGGCCTCGGCAGCTGTTGGAGATACACAAAAATGGCACGTAGAACTGGTTGGTGTTAATTTTCTTTGCAGGGTCAACCTTTAAATAAGCTTTCAGTGTGTCCTTGTTGCTGCTGTTCTGATGATTAATTTTCTGACAGACTTATGGGAAGAGTTTTGGTTGACTGAACCTTAATCTGAGGTCAAATCTTTTTTTCCCTTGAAACTCATCTTCTCATTATCTCATCATTATTATTATTATCCAGTTAGACACAGATGGTAGGCTATCTCTGCAAATGTTGACTTCTCAAAGATAATACTTGGTTTAGGAAGGTCATGTCTGGCTCCACAATGTATAGTACTCTTGAGATTCTTGGCAATAACACTACCCACAGGCAGGTGAGAACTGGCGGCTGTAATTTAGCAGTCCTCCAGACAAGCTCTCTTGCGATGACTTCGTCCGCTCCTAGAGCAGTGCGGGATCAGCAAGATGCAAAAGTGGCTTTGTCTAATCTACCTTCTCTGGGCTGAATCACACATTTTGTGCTTTTAGAGAGACAGAAGATCCCTAGTGATTCATAGATAGTGTTTTCTCTACCCTGTGTGTGTGTTTTTGTTTTTTGGGTTTTTTTTTAGTTTAGGAAGCTATTCTTAATTTTTTGGCTCTAAACTGATGCGTAGCATTGCCATCTGTTGGGAAAAATGAAATTAACCCAAAGTTTTGATGTATTTTATCCATGTCCATATGTGTGCTGTGGAATTTAAAGGACATTTTGATTCTTTAAGATAATTTATTTCTATTTATTAATTTCTCCCAGTAAAATATATTTCTGTTATTTTGTGCTCAGTCTGGAGCTGAAAACATCTTCTGTAATCCCTAACATCTTCAGTTATTTGAGAGTTAATTTTTACAATAAATGCCCCTTTATCTGTCATATTTGGAGTAAGAGAATCATATTGGTTAGCTCACTCAAGTGCAGAAGGATCCAAAAATTCTCTGGCTTTTTCTCTGCTTCATCACCACCACTTTATTTAATATTGTTATGGTTGATTTATACATCTAGTTCTTTGCCAGGTAATAGGATTCACTCACTGTATTATAAACAAATAGATAGTTTACTTCAAGTTCTACAGAACGGTGCAAACAATCTCCTCTTCTATTTCTGTTGACTTCAGAGAAAGCAAGAGCAAACTCAACGAACAAGGTCATCAGTTTCTGTAAAACATTGTAGACAGCTGAAGTCAGTGGAGCTGGTGCAATTTACACCATATGAGGATCTGACAAGATGTGTAGAAATAGGAAAAAGGGAGGCTCATTCGTTTTGCAGGGTTTCAGAAAAGTGTGAAATACTTGAATTTCTCTGAATCTAGCATTTCAATAAGTTTATATTTTCAAGGGAAATCAGTGAATGTGGCTAATGTCTAGGTTTATTTATAAGGGTAAGACTATGAAGGAAGCAAAAGATACCACTTTCTCCCATCTTTTCTGTAGGAGAAACTGAAACTTCTTTATCAAGAAAAGGTCAATATCCTTGATGCGCAGATACAGTCTCTAAGGTAAAGTAAAATGTTTTTTTTATCTTTAAGTTATTGTTAAAAATATTATCAACTTATAACAACGTGGACCACTCCTAATTTGAATTTAAGTAAGAGAACAGGTAGGGAATGAATATTGTGTTTACTAGTACGGTGTCCCTGAAAGGTAGTTTGACATGAAGTTCTCTCAGATATAAAGGTAAAACTGAGTGTATTGCTATTATATGGCAATATCAGCAATATAATTATATATTTTATATCCTATAAATTCCATTGAATTACTGTTTTTATAAAAATTACTGAACTTGAGAACTTGATATAAAATGTCTTTATCCTTTTTACCTTTACTTGCCGTATAGAAATATCGTGTCTATTAAGATAGACCAATCAAAACAAAAAAGAAGCCAAAAATTCCAACTCATACGAGCTTTCTCATAATGAGCTTTTTTTCTACTAACATTTTGTATCACAAGCTTTAGAAATCTTAAGTGTCCAACTGGTTTCGGCCAAATAATGATTCTGGAACAGAGGAGAATGTAGTTTTGAGGAATGCAGCCTGTGTTTCCAGTCAGGTAACATGCATCTCTCTTAAACACAGAAGTACCTAAAAATAAGTCCTTATGTAGTCCTCAAAATATCATCAGTTTGAATAGAGAGAGCAGGCTATGGAGAACCAGGCTAGAGGGAATCACTTTAGGATTCTGGTGTTCTGTAGTAAACTTCCCTCTGTGTACCTGCATTCACTACACTGCTGCTGAATCTGTTTAATTATGTTTTTCCCTAAATAAATTGTGATTTTTGTATGTCTGAGAATTCTATACTTTTTTTTTGTGTGTGTGTGTGGAAAAATTACTGTTAGAGAGTCCAGTTTAAATATGTCCTTGGTAGTGGTGAAATCTTGTATATGCAAAGCAAATTGTGCTAATCCTAATAAAGGAGGATCTTAATTTCAGCTATGCAATCTGATTTATTTTTTCTTCCCTTTGTTTGAAGTGTAAGATATGCTCAGACAGAGAGATTGGAGGTTTAAATAGTCTGACAATTTCGATCAATATATAATTCCATTTCTTGCTTTCTCCAAAGGGACTTGATCTTTCAAAGTGTTGATTTCTGCCCAAGATTTCCCAACAATAGGTCTGTTGTACCATGGCTGTCTAAGAATATTTACAGAGCAAATTCTGTTCAGCTTATAGTATGTATTATATTTAATAGACCAGCTACTAAAATTGAAAAAGTACACAGAAGACTTCCCAGATGGAAATATGCACACATGCAATGTATATATCATGTGCACAGTAAATCCAATGCAACCAGAATGTGTCAGACTCACTATGTGTATGCTGCCCGGATGGCCTGCATAACAAATCAAAAGGTTTGGATTCATTGCACAATTTGTCAAATTAATCTATATGTGCGTTTGTCTGGAACTTCCTGATGTCAGCATTCCTTCTGCTTGTGCTCTGCCTGGACTGTCAAATGCTTGGAAATTCTGGAGAAAATTCTTCAGAGCACCTGGTAAAGAAAAAATTTAAGAGAAATTAAAAAAAAAAAAAAAACAAACGTACTTTCTCTGGAAATGTGATTGACTGGAAGTGTATATGTGTTGCTGCATCAGAGTGAGTGTGCTAAATACATCTGGATTTTGTCTAGGGAGCGTATGGGACTTCTATAATGGCCCTTTACAGTTAATTTGAGAGTAGGCAAGAAACGTGGAGGTAATGGTGATAGTAGTAGTAGTAGCAACAGCGACAATTTATTAGGTTTTCTTAGGATATTGATATCCTATTGATACTGATACACTGCTGATAGTGTTTCTTGTTAACAGACTAATTACTCATTGAAGTTATACACCAAATCACTGGATGAAACATAGAGCTTTCCGTACTGTTTGAACTATTTTCTGAGTTTACAGAGGGAAGGAACAAATTAGTATCTGTTTTTGTCTATTAATTTTGATTGGGCAGTTCAACTATTATTTCTCTGTGAAGACCTTCCTTAGCGTTGTTGACATCTGTAAAATAACATGCATTAGAGGAATTCTTAATGTTGTTATGTTGTATCCATAGTTACATATTACCTATAAATATAACTTGTAGAAATGTCTGATTATTGCTCAGATAGCATTTTTGTTTCTTCTTTTTAGAAAAGATCTCTCAGAATCTCAGAAGACATGCCAAGATTTGGAAGGAAGGCTGAAACACCAGAAGTCACTCATTTCAGCTGCAAATTCCAGTCGGGTTGGTGGTCTGTGTCTGAAATGTGCACAACACGAGGCTGTTCTTGCACAGACTCATTCTAATGTTCATATGCAGACCATTGAGAGGATTACAAAGTAGGTTTGGGGAGGTATTTACTTCTTAATTTGAAGCACAGTTGCTTACATGAAACCATGCTAAGTTTCAGTAGTGTTTGATTGCATTAACAGAGACGTGCTTTTAAAGAACAATTGAGTCCTGAGTTCAAAAATGCTAAAGTCGATGGCAGAATATGGGTTTAGGTCCTAGCAGTTTTGAGATTCATTTGCTGCTTATTTCAATAGGGAACGAAAGTCATATTTTGTAATTGTGATACCTAAGGCTGTCCAGATTATCAGTCTGTTGACAGCTGCAAGACAACCCTTTGCTCTGTCAGGACAAATAAAACAGAAATCCATATATTTCAATTGATAATTTTCTACATAAATTTCCTGTCTTTCTGTAGTTGAGACTTTTTCTAATTCCATTTTATTTTCCTTCTATTTGGAGGCCTTTCAGGAAAAATTAAAATGCAAAAACATTAACAAGGTGCTCCCCTTGTTTTCCTTGGTTTTACTTAATAGGTCAGGGGTTTGGGATTAGGATATGCTGCTCCTCTGAACTGGAACGCTTCCAGGAAGAAATTTCATTTAGATAAAAGTAAATACAATGATTCGCGGAAGCCTTTTTAAAATTGTAGCTTTTATTTAATTGATAAAAAAGCAGTTATACAGGCTGAATACTGTAATATATTATAATTCAGAAACCCCACTAGCATTAAAATGCTTTTTCAGAAGAAATTCTGCTAGTCGGTCATCTTCAAAACTCTCTCCCTTTCTACCCATTAATAATCTGACAGGATACCCCAGCCTACTCAAAAAGAAGAGTATGTTAAACAGATAACCGACTATTGTCAGATATTTGAAGCTTCTTAGGATTTCTGAAGTTTTAGAATGAGTCCTGCTTGAGGTGAAGTAGTGGATGAGTTGGAAGCAAGAAGACTGAAGGGGCATAGTTCATGTAATCTGTCAAATGGATGTTATCTCTGTGTATTAGATGGCTATTGGCAGGATTTACGTGTTTTTCTATGGTCAGGAGTTCAAGAATTTTCTGGGAAAGCTCTCTTGATGAAAAATCCTATTTCAAAATCTACTTTTGTAAGAAAAATTTGTCTTGTCACAAAAACTGTGGAAAATGCAGACAAACTGTAAGTAGGTGTCGTCTTTAAATGTCGTTCACGTTTGAAACAAAAGATTTGAGCTAGTCCGTTTCTCTCTCATAAACCGTAATTTCAGCTTCAAATTTAACAAAGCTACATCTTCCATGATGCAACTTACTGAAAACAAAGATATTTCAGTGGGGATTTTCAAAGAAACTAAACAGAATTTTTTTCTAAGTCTAGTTGAAATTTCAAAATACGATTCTGAGTTGTTCTGGCAAATGCAACTGTGCTACCACACAGCAGAAAAACAAGTCTTTGGCCAGAATTTCTAGTTGCACCTGAAACAGACTGAGACAATTCTACCCTCTTAATCAAAAAGCTTTCAACATATCCAACTATGAAAAGGTTAAGTTAAATATAAAGTAACGTTTTACTGATTGTTAGTCCGTTTGCTAGAGATCTCAGTAGCTTAATTAACAAAGAGGTTGTGGAGGTATGTAGAATTCAGAAGTCTTACTGTTTAGTTTAGTTCCAGTTTGCAGCAGTCAAAGGGCTGTTGATTTTTCATTTGATTTGTTTAGTTATTTGATATGTTTAGTTATTTGAACTGTTTTGTTGTAGCTAAACACTTAACCTTTAAGAATCTTTTTCTCCCTATTTTGCATTTAATGTCAGAGTAATTCTGTATTGTTTGTATCTGTTTTTTCAAAACTTACTTTTTTCATCCGTTCTCTCTCTCTCTCTCTCTCTCTCTCTCTCTCTCTGATCCCCGTGTTCTCTTGCTCGCTCGCGCTCTCGTCCTTTTTCGCTCGCTCGCTCTCGTCCGTCCGTTTTCTCGCGCACGCACGCTCGCTCGCTCTCTTCTTTTCTATCTTCGTTTTGTAATGCCAACAGGATACTACTCAGCTTAAATACATTCATAACCTGAGCCCTTTACTGGCAGTTTCACTGACGTCTGTTGTTCGTAAGGACAAGTCAGCAAGTGACACTCTCTGCATCTGCTGAACTAGCAGTATTTTGTCTTTCAGACATAACCCATGCTGATATCGGTCTTAATTTACTTACCACTTTTGTCTTCTGGCAGTTAACGCTTTATATTTTATATACCTGAGTTTTTTCCATAGGAAGATACACAAGAAATATTTTTCTTTCTTTGCAGAGAAAGAGATGATTTAATGGATGCGCTCGTTTCAGTGAGACGGAACCTGAGAGACATGCAGCACAGAGAGTCTAACGCTTATGAGCAAGTGAAACAAGCTGTGCAAATGACAGAAGAGGCCAATTTGGAAAAAACAAAGGTAAACTCACGAAGATAAGAGCTTTTCTGTATTCAGAACTGCTACAAACGTTAGTTAATTCTCGTGCTAATGAGAACACATTCATAAGACCTTTATCACACATTGCAGCAAGGTAGTAGATTTAAAAGAAAGGAGTGTTCAAATTGCATTGTATGTAATTCTTCTAAGCAGTAACATGAGAAAACATTAAATGAACATCACATTTGGGTTTTTAAATTATAATCTGAGGCTGTAGGCTATGTGCTGCATCCTCAGGCCATCATTTAAATTCTGATATAGTTTCACAGCCGGATGATAAAAATTTAAAGGTAAAATTTTCAAAGGTATTCATGACATATAGGAGAATAACTTTCAGATCAGACTGCTGAACTGCTCCTGAAAGAATACTTTAAAAGTTTGCAAATGGATTTTTTGCCTCAGAAGAGTGCAGTGTAAGGATTAATTAGCTAAGATGACTCTTTGAAGATGAGAACTGCTGTATGGGGTACTATGTAAATAATAATGATAAAATCAGTTTTAATCTAATGCTTATATTAGCCCTAATTACTGTATATAATCAACTGACGGTGAGCTAAATTATTTCCTTGATATTTAGTGACATCTACTGTGGAATTTTTGAATTACTATGGAATCAGAGAATTTCTTTTCAATGAAATGACGTTATTTTTAATGATAGACAAGATTGATATAATTGTCCTGTTGACCAATTAATCAGCAGTGGCTGGTGTTATTTATGCAGTGCTCTAAATGTGTGTGCATTTGGTGGGGGTCTGTCTCTTTATGGGGAAAATATAACAAGACTTGAAAATCCTATTAAACTTTAGAGTGTTAGAACCGCTTGTTTTTTCTGAGCAGAGATGAAGAATCCTTCTGAGCCCATCACTTACCAGTAATCACCTGTGTCATCTTGTCCTTAAGGGGTTAAATTTTTAGATGGTTTATTAGTTTACTTTCTTGGATCTACAGTTATCTGATAGAGGTGTTATCAGCTTGCTGCCACTTAGCTGCACAAAACACTTTTTCTCATCCGTGCAATAAGATGAAGGTATCTATCTTCTTTTTTCCTCTTGCTGTTGGAAGTGTTTACAATGAAATTTAAAAAAAGAAATCCCTACAAAGTTATGTTCAGTACAGATCATGTCAGGAATATGGCCTAGTAATAACTCTTAGTAAGAGAAATTAATAGAACCTTTAATGAGATGGGACTTCATTGCTATACTGTTTAATTTCTGCCATAAAAAGAAAGCAGCTCATTAGGGTCTCTACTGACCACCCTCTTCACTGCAGCAAGGAAATGTGAAGTGCTAATTGTATAGAAGACCAGATGATTGTGACTAGTAGTTTGTTTTTCCATGCTCAAAAGCTATTTTTATATGAAAGAGCAGGGAAAAAAATCTTTTTACTCCTCCTGCATGAATTTAGCTTTCTTGCAAGTACTGATATTTCTTTTGAAAATTACAAAAAATCCTTGGGCTGTTTTTGTTTTGTTTTTTGTTTGTTTTCCCTGTCGTTTTCTACCTCAAGAATCCAAATGCTGTTTTCCTTCTGTAAGTCTCATGGAATCCAGTAGAACAAGTAGAAAAGAGAGGGATTAGCGTTTGGAAGCCCATTGTGTTAAAATAATTGCAGCTTCGTCAGGGAGGTGACAGGAAGTCTGACCTCAGGTGCTTTCTGTTTAAAAACATTGTTTTTCTTCTGTCTTTCAGTTGTCCCTATAGCTTTTGGCCTCTTTCTTCTGTATTAAATTTAGAGCCAGGAGGTGATCTGATAAGGTTACGTTCCCGGATTTGCTTGAACTATGGGAGTTTATTTTCAGTATAGGCTTCATAGAAGAATAGTTGTTTGAACTAGTCGTTGTGTAGTCAGAACAGTGGACCTAACGAAATATAAATTTCTTCTTGCACCATACTTTTTGTAGTTTGGTAGGCACACAAAACAAAATGCAACTCTACAGCAGTTTTATGCAGATGATTGTTTTGCCGATGTCGCATTTCTACGGAAAAGGACTTATGGCCGCAACACAGGGATTTCCCCCACCAAGATAGACTCTACTGATGTGAAAGAGACCCTGAGAAGTGTCCCATAGAGCTGACATAAACAAATGGAGGCTGTTAAAGCATTTTTGAAAAAGGATGGTTTAACTTGTGTCCCTCTTGAATAGCCTAACGCAAAGGAAATAATACCAGCGAAGGGCTTTGAGTAAAAGAAAAATAAGCTGTTTCAACGAATTCAAGCGTAAAGGGAAATAAGGTAGTATTCCTAAACAGAGGTTACTTTACCTTCCTTAAAATAGGATATGCTGAATATGAGTGAAATGAGGTTTAATTTGCTCATGGCCAGCAAGCTCCCTTTAGGGTACTTTGAATACTCTGATTCTCTTCCCAAGAAAGCAATGTATTTCTCATTTAAGTTGACGTAACACTTGCTTCTTATTCCTGTGGCAGGGAGACATTAGCATAAATTGATACCGAGTTTGTTTAGAAGATAGTGTCTTCTGTGCTTCTTGGGCATAAACTTACTTACCTCAATTCTGATAATCCATCTCGGGCAAAAATTATAATTATTCACTTCCCACTAGATGCGTCTATAACCCATGTTTTAGCACTGTGGATAAACTCTACTGGAAATTCATAAATGGTTACTTAATCTTCTTCATTTGAGAAACCTGAATATAAAAAAGAAGTTGTTTCTTTGTACCTTTACACAATTCTTCCAGCTTTCTTCTTAGTCTTCTGCACCCCATAATTCATTATGGGGGAGGGCGGGGCAGGAAGAGCAAGTAGAAATGCATACTCCTTCTTCCGCTTGCCTCTGCCCCCTCCCCGGTGTGCAGCTGGGCGGTAACCACAGGTCTCCACTGTTTGCAAAGAGTCAAATATGGAGACTGGCTCTGGTCTTGAATGATGTGCACATGGGTATTTTAAATGCAAGTCAGATAATTGTGTTAGTTTTAGAAGAACCGCTGCACATTTGGAAAACGTAGTCTGAATATCATTTTATCTTTATCATGATTTGTAAATGCAATTCGTTTAAAAATTAGAGTAAAACATGTATGCACATAAAATCATATTCCTATGCTGTCATTTTGTTAGTACTATTCTAAGATGTTAATGCGCTAGGGCATGTGTAAAAGTCATAATAACTGTATAAAATACAAAAAACCCTCAATTTTAATGGCACATCAATTTCTCTGAAAGTTTTTAAGTAAATTTCACGTTTGTTTAAAACCTCAGATTTCTTCCACTTAAATAGAGTTTTTTCTAGGCTCTAGTCCAGTGTGAGCAGCTGAAAAGTGAGATGGAGCGGCAGAAGAATCGTCTTGAAAAGGAATTAGTTGCCCAGCTAAATAAGAGGACTGATGAAAAAGAAGCACTGCGGGAAGAAATGAAGAAAGAAAGGGAGGATTTGGCAGCAATGGTAAGAGCTGTTTTCTGTTTGCATATTATAAAGATGTTTGGTCCTCCTTAAAATTTCTGTTTGCTGTTCTTTCTAATATAAGTTTCATTTTGGATTTGAGAGCTCAGTAAATAACTTATGGCTAAACTTTAAAGCACTGGTAAGTAACTTAAGTGATCCGTTGAGACTGAATAACTGAGTTTTGCACTATGTCATTAGATATATACTAGGTTGTTAATGTTGCGCACACTTTTTTTAGTTGGCATAATATTTTCTACTGCACTTTGTCAAAATAACAAAGAGCTAAGCAATATGTTATACAATATTCTTACCTAGCTTCTTCAAAAGAATATTATCTAGGTTGCAAAGTAAAGCATTCAGAAATCAGCGCGTGCCAAACCTAGGACTCTTTACAACTTTGACTTTAGGTATGTATTTATGTTATAGTATCATTTTAATTGCATTCTAATACAGTAATTTCCAGTGTGATCTTGTCGTATGCTTAAGTTACTGACCTGTAGAAATATGCTGGAGTCATTTCTCACTTAACGTTTTTAAACTCTATGAGACTGTGTTTTATATCATGGCCATTACAACAGAGCCCTGAAAACCTTGGTTTTTAGGCTTCTAAATGCTACTGTCATACGAATATACAAGATAAGGTTTTCATGTCCAGTAGGAGGTCAAAGAAACCTTATGCTAACAACAGTAAACCTGTGAGATATGACAGAGGAGGCACTTACAAGATGATTGGAGAAAGAAATAGAGGGAGATATGCTCCGTGAATTAGTGTTTTTCATGCTTGTTTGAGTTGCAACTTACTTAACCATTTTTGATGGCAGTTTGGAAACAATATAGTGAATTTCTCTGTTGAGTGTAAGCTTTTTCCTTAGTTATTTTGTATTGGCTCCTTTTAGCAGTAGACCACATAGTTTCCAAACTCTGAGGAACACAAGCTGGAAAAATCGCTGGACAAAGCAAATGATTTGAGTGTTTAGAAAAGAGGAGGTATTTTGGTAGTGTTTGGTTGCGAGATGACTGGAAAACTGCTAGAGGAGCTGGGGTGGGGGGAGCAACGTGATATGGTTGCCTTTCTGGTGCTATGAGATGGTGGGCAATAACATTTGAAAGCTGCTATGGTGTATGGGAAGTCAAAGCCTTTGACTCCAATTCTAGATAATAAAACAGGAGTTAAGTACAGTGAGAGAGATTAAGTAAGTGATATTATAGTCATTTAAGGAAGTGAACTGTTTTAAGTGATTGTCAAAAATCTGTTGCCAGGACAAACTGAAATAAAAGATTCACCTTGCCCTGGAAACGCTGAGATATATTAAGCAATTCCTTGTTCAAGTAATTGTTATCTGTTGGAAGTTATACTTCTTACACAGTTAATCATTTAATTATACATTGACTTTAGAGCAGAGTATGCACTCCAAAATATGGCCAATTAGACGAGCGTTTCATATCTTTCATTATTACAACATGAAGTTCACCTCTTCGTGCCACCACATCGCTTCATATTTCATCACCTACTGGGTTGTAGTTTATTGGAACTGATTCCGACTTGGATGACTTGTAGTCTGGGTTTTCTTTTTTTAATCCTACATACATGGTAAACAATCCTTAGTGAAAATAATATGATAACATCATACCTGGTAAATAAGAATAGATATGGAAATGACTTTGTAGAAATTATGATCTGTGCGTATGACCTGCATCTACTTATGATTAACTCTAGCTTTTCTGTTTGGAGAAAATCAAACTGCAGAAATGGTGTACTGTGCATTAAGTTCATCTCCATGTGAATACTTTATCAGTACCTTTAAGAAGTGATTTGTTTGAAGGGGAGAATTGGCATGATACATAAATCAGGTATACGTATAATGGGTGAAAAATAGTTATGAATATATAATCTTCTAGTTTTGGCTTTGAATTCCTGTAAGTTAACCTAGAACTGCCAAACACCATTACTTCTACTTGTATAAGTCAGCTTCAGGGCTAAATAGCTCCAGGATAGTCTCTATTTTATTGTTATATTTTGTCACCATTCAGCAAAATTTGATCCGAGTTGCGTTAGAGTTTTTAGCAAACTATACCCATATGCTTGTTGCACAGCATCATGTTTTGATTTACAATGCTGAAATATTATCTCAGTTTCAGAATTAAAGATCTACAGTTGCAATGTGGTTGCAAGTTTTCTTTTTGCTGGTGCAAAAGAGAGCTCAGGGAACACAATTTCATCAACATCGGCCTATATAAGGTATAAGATGGTGTTAATTAGTACTCTTGCAGCTGCAAGAGTAATGGAACCTGCTACTTCTGGCACTGTGTCCATACTAACAAGTCCTGGAGACTAGTCTGGGTTTCAAATATATTATTGTATGATAAATTAAAACAAAATAGTGAACCCACTTCTACAATCATTTAGCCACGTTCTGCCATATTCTTGCTTATGATGTATTCTCTGCAATTTAAAATATATTTTTTACAACATAAGTGCAGTTATTTTCGAGGAGAAAGTCCTCCAAGAGGTAGCTCTGTGATTGGTTGAACTTCCTCATTGCAGTGTATTTGGGTTTTTTGCAGGTGACAGCCATGTCTGAGAATGTGGCCACGTTAGAGGCTCAGGTGGAGAGAATTACAAGGGAGAAGAACTCACTAGCTAACCAGTTAGAAGAAACGCAGCATCAACTTTCGTCTCATGAAATGGAGATGAATAAGGTAGAGATGTTTATATGTGAGTACTGAGCCTGCTTTCGCTTATCATGATGAGTTGAAAGGTGAGAATTGTTTTTTGCTTCTGCATTTTCCTATATGTTGGGGAAGAATGTATGCTCAACGTAAATGTCATCTGAAAATCTCAGGGACGCAATTTTACAAGTAAAAAGATAATTTATAAATCTGCTAAGCCACTTGTGATACAAAAGTGATACAGAATGAAAGAGCATTTTAAGACTGTCCAAAAGGTTTGTTTCACCATTCCTGAAACACGAAGTTTTAGTTTTTCAAGCTAGGTTCATAGATGGTATAACGGACTGGAGCATCTGTCTTATGAGGAAGGACTGAGAGAGCTGGGCCTATTTAGCCTGGAGAAGAGAAAACTGAGAGGGGGATCTGATCAATGTGCACTAGCATGTGAAGGGAGGGGGTCAAGAGGATGGGGCCAGACTCTTCTCCGTGGTGCCCAGCAACAGAACAAGAGGCAACGGGCAGAAACTGAATACACAGGAGATTCCATCTGAACCTGAGCAAAACTTCTTTCCTGGGAGGGTGACTGAGCCCTGGCACAGGTTGCCCAGAGAGGTGGTGGAGCCTCCTTCCCTGGAGGTATTCAAAACCTGCCTGGATGCGATCCTGGGCAATATGCTCTAGAGGACGCTGCTGGAGCAGGGCGGTTGGACTAGATGATCTCCAGAGGTCCCTTCCAACCTCAACCGTGCTGTGATGCTGTATGGCTGTAGCACTGCTATGAAGAAAGAGAAGGCAGTGGTATAGATATCCACTAGGCTGGAAAGAACAATTTTATAGACTACTGATTTGAAGTCTCCAGAGACAGATGAGGCCGGAGTTTCAGTCCCTGTTTCAGTTAATATTGATTGATACAAAGCTGAATAGCTTTTAATAGGAAAGATTGAGAGTGGCCATCTCATAGTATCACAGAATCACAGAATCGTTTAGGTTGGAAGGGACCTCTGGAGATCATCTAGTCCAACCTCCCTGCTCAAGCAGGGTCACCTAGAGCATATTGCCCAGGATCACATCCAGACGGGTTTTGAATATCTCCAGGGAAGGAGACTCCACTACCTCTCTGGCCCCAGAAGTTAGGGAAAAATGTTTGGAGTTATAAATTTTTCTCTTGAATTCTGAAGTACTAGGAGCCTGAAAAAATCAGTTATTAGGACAGCACCATCTGCTGATTCCTCTGTGTTACTCAATTTGTACAATGTATGGCAGAGCCAAAGGCAAGGATGGAAGATGGCTGTGTTTTTGTATTTTGCTTGGAGGAAGGGACATATCACACTTTGTTAAATTCTTCATATGAAGAAAGGAGGAAGTGGAAAGATAGAGTTGGCAGTCCATGCAATTGCATGCTAACATTTTTCACTTGCACATGATATTTCAGTATTAAAACAAAAAAAAAAATTAAAGAACTTTGTTCAGAGCATTTGCTACCTTCTGTTGTTTGAAAGAGGGCTGAAATCACAATCTATCCTCCAAGAAAATGATATATCTTTCCTCATATGCTTTGAGTGTTTAAGTGCTGCTGCTCCTTAAAATTATGACAATTGATTTTGTTTTTTCCTAAGTTCAGCTGATCTCAGTGGATCTGATCTCAGTGTGTATATTTACCCCACCTTTTTCAAGAAAAAGAAAAAGGTGAAAAGGAGCAGATGTATGAGACTGAAAAATAGAAATGAATTTAGATTGTTGAATGTGTGAGAGAAGAGATTATTGAGAAATACAGGGGGGAAATATAGAAGCAAATTTAAAAGTGCACATTTGGGAAGCAAGTCTGGTAAAAGAACCTAAGTGGGGCGAGCAGGAGAGTGAGTTGGAAAGAAAATTCTCCAAGAGAAACTGTGAGTAAATACTTTTCTATTCCCTTCAAGGGGCTTGGGGGATAGCAGTTTTGTGTGTATTTATGTTTGGTTAATTACTAAGATGAAATGAACAGTCACAAATTGGAGGTGATTGCACGGGATAAGGACAAAAAGCTGGCAGCTTATCCACTCCTTCCTGTTCCCGACAGATAAGATCAAATAACCTGCTAAAAGTCTTAGACTGGGAAATGAAAGACTAATAAATATTCCACGCAGCTTTAGTGCAAGTTGTGTCGGAGGGGTTATTTTGTTTTGTTGTCCCTCTCCCTCTCCCTTCCTCCCTTCCTCCCTCCCTCTCTTCTCTGAAACTGAGCTGCCGTCAGGTGGAAATGAATGAGGAGGTGACATAATGTATATACCCGCAGCAGCAGTTGTTGCTTTTGTGGAAGTGATCTTAAATGTTGCTTTGATCACTTCTTCTGGCTCAGGCATATACTGGAAATGGGTTTTGTTTTTAAGAATTTATCTCCAGTTTGTATTAAGAATATAGTGCTCTGATCTAACTTTGAAAATTATTTTATTAACCTCTAAGCATTTTCTCTTTTACCAGGGAAAATTGACAAGACAAGAAACTGTGCCCTTATATAGGAGTGTGATAGATCTCTTACTTCTAGATTTTGAAAGTGTTGACATAGACTTTCTTGGGATTTTAAAGAGATTGGGAGAAGAACGTAAGACCAGCAACTGTAGCTTAACTGTGTTTAGTAGCGCATATATTTACAACATAAATATTTATACTTAGAAAAATCTTAATCCAAATATAATTGAATCTAGAAGGCACTGCATATTTCAAAGTTAATGACTATATAGGGAACTCAGATCCACCTTTTTATATAAAAACCTTTACCATATGTAGTCTTAAAATATCTGTAAATTAAAATATGTTGGATTTAAATGACCTCTAGAGGGCACCAAAAGATCTATTTGCAAAACCTGGGCTATGGCTTCTTCAAGCTACAGATCATGTTGTCTGTATAATCTAACAGGTGTGTGGAGAAATGCGCTATCAGTTGAATCAAACCAAAATGAAGAAGGATGAGGCAGAAAAGGAGCTCAGAGAGTACAGAACAAAAACTATAAGGGAGCTTGAAATTAAGGACCAGGTAAGACATAATACTGCTATAACTTTGCAGTTATTGGAAGCCTAAGTAGGGTTATTTCGGAAGTTGGAATGATTGGTTTTTCTAATAGTGGTCATTTATTACTGTTAAAGGGTTTCTAAATTAATGGCAACAAGCCAGCTGTTACCTCTTCGCTATCTTATTCTTGTTTTCAGCCCTAGTATGTTCAGTTTTACATGATACTTATCCCATGCTTTCATATAGAATTACTTTATCATATGTATTCATACAATGTACTTAAATTGTATGTACTGCTTACATATGTATTTTCATACACTTTTTTTTCTCACAAATAAACCCCCACGTAAATAGGTATACCTACAATCTGACAAAACCTTAAGGAGTCTAAGCGTAACTTAACTTTGTCAAAAAAGAATGTCATTTCCAGTTTAAAGATTCAAGGTTAATGAATGCTGGATTCATAGAAAAGTTTAAAGAAAAAAGAAAAGAAAAGAGAAACTACTAGAAAAAATAACTACATAAAAATTCCACTAGGCATTAATTATTATCTAAGACTGTGCTATATACTAATAGAAGAAACAGTATGTGACTTACAGGTAGAATGTGAGAAAACATCTCTCTCAAAAAAGATTATTAGAGTAACCTGCAACATGCTTGGCAAACAGCTTGAACAGATGTAATGACCTGCATCTTTCGAAGTGCCCTTTTTGTTGAGGTTCTACCAGTTTTTCTCTAGGTATTCAAACTTTCAGTTATTCCTTCATAAGTTGTGATTTGCACGAGAGACGGATAACGTCTTTTGAATACACATAAAAATGTATAAGGTGCATATGCACATAATTTTTGTTAGGTGCAGTTTGTAATTAGAGCAGCCTATCCAACAGGTTTTAAAACATTTTTTTTTTTTTTTTGTAAATAAGTGTACAAATCAATCCTCCTGTATATCTAGGGAAAAATGCAGAATTTCTAAAATTATGTTTTATTCACCAGCTCCCCAAAATCATCATGTAGGGGGGTAAGTTTATTAACTTAATAAATTAAGAGCTTAGACTAGAAATGATATTAATCCAAATTATAATCAAAAGACACATTAAATTAAAAAGAGAAGTTTGTTAGGTAAAATAATTCTTTAGGAAATCATACAGCCCAGACAAACAGGGGCCTTTCAAAGTGTTTTGTTTTCAGAGTTGGCTTTTTTTTTTTTTTCTCCCTCCTGCATCCTTCAGGCCTAGGGACACTTTAAGAAAACAAAAAGCAGGCTTGTCGTCTGTGTCTTGACAGATATCACAGATAAAAGAGTTGGCATAATCTTGGCATACAAATAAAACAGGATGTGAAGAAGTATCTTGGTTTTTAAATGCAGTTCTCCAACTTTCTTCAGGACTGCCTTTTGAACAAATTGCAAAATTTAACTAAATATTTTAATCTTGTCTATAGACCTACGGGTATTTTATTCAGTGTGGGAATGAATACAGCAAAATACGATAATTTATAACTTGATATAGTTAAAGGGAAGTGGTAAGGATATTGTTCTTATCAGCAAAGATTATTAGCGTAATTATGTAATTAGTTAAAGTAATTAAATTGTTTAAGAAACCAACAACCACATTTAAAAAAAGAAAACAAAGTATTCTGAAATACTCAGGCAAAGTATTTAGCCAAGTATTTAGCAGCCGTTTATTAACAGTGGCTGTCAGAATTCATTCTGGTACGAAAGTTCTATACATCTCCTAATATTATTTCACATGTTAAAAGACAAACAAGAGTTTTAAAAAAAAACATACAGACAAAGTTTAACAAATGTTAACAAGTCCTTGCAAATTTTTCATATAAATAAAATGAAAACAGCTCAATCACATTTAGCTTTGTTTTAAAGAAAAAAAAAATTTCATCTTATGTGGCATTGAATAGCAAACGGTAATTGTTCTTTGGTCTGTCAGCCATGACCTGACCTTCTGGCTAAGAAATAGAATTGGTACCTTCCTTGGCCACCATCTGTTCATAATAAATACATATTTATTTTTTTAAAGTAGAGGAACAATAGCATATGAACAGTGTTTTTATACTGTTTTATATTAAATGGTGCATTTTTCTGTATTAAACGCAAAGAATAGTGTTTCAAATTGTCTTTGGACATATTGAAAATCTTTTCTGTTTCTTGAGATGTGAATGTATTTTTAATTGTGCTGTGGATAAATTCCAGTTTTGAAGAAGTATTTTACTTTTTATATAGTGACTGTAAAAATGGATTAAAGTTATTCAGGTATGTCAGAATAGAAATAAATCCCCCCAGGTATGGTTTGGGATCATCTGGTCTATATACTTGCTGAAAAAGCCAATATTTATAATGTTCTTCAAAGATAAATGTGAATAATTTAGCAAAATTAAAGGGAGTCTTAGATCTTCTTTTTTTCTGTTACTTCTTTTCCTGTCTTGATTACTCAGTTGGGATTAATTACAAATACTGGCACTGCTGTGTTATTACCTGTTGTTAACATTTGACATGACTGTATCTTAAAATAAAAATCGAAAAGCAATGAGCAATGATACCATTTAAATTGAATAAGTATTTTGTAATATCATCCATCATGATCCTGCTTAGCATTAGGATTATGGAGGAAGGAGAAAAGAAGATGTATACCACACAGCTTCTCCACACAAAAACTGCATCTGTTCATCTGGCCCAGTATACTACAAGGTGGCATAACCTCCGGCCTTTTTTTTTTTCTTTTTTTTTTCTCTCCCAGCTCTCCTATTGTAGATGTAGCTGTGCTGAAATAACAGTGCCTTACTTAATGCTTTTCCTTCTTAAGGACAAGCTTTATAAGATATACTGGGATAATGCCTTCATAGCAGTTAACTGTGTCCACACTAGGGGTTGTACTAGCACAGCTATATCAGAGGAAAGTCACGCCCTATCCTAAATAGCTGTTATCAGAACAAAAAACTGTGTGGCATATTTGACACAGTAGGACTTCACTTTTATAGTACCACTTCTGTGAATGTGGAAGCACTGCATGGTATAATTTGTACATTTTTAATAGAACTCATACTTTTGACACACTATGAAATCATTGTTTCCTCAGATTAGCATCACTTGCTCTTTGCTGCTCTGTGTTATAAAAATAAAAATGAAGTATACTGTTAATCATTTGTTTTCTGTTATTTTTTTCTTGTAAATGGTTTTTATTTGGCCTATAAAATCTTGCAAGCTTCAGCATGTAGAAGTGAAAACAGTTTGTAGTACTGGCTCATATAGCCCATCCAGTTTGGGCCTCTTCCTTGTTAGAGAGTTCACCCTGGTAGCATTACACTACTGGGAATTGTAGCCTCTTTGTAATAATGCCATAGGACATGTTGAATCCAACCTCAGAAAGTAACTGAAGCTTTTCAATTTTTTTTCTATATTTTGAGAAATCAGATAAATGCTTTGTTAGAAATAAATCCAAGCCCTTCATCTGAACCTGTAAAAAGCCGTTCTGTTCATACAGTCTTTAAAATTAGACATTGTTCAAGTAGGGAATTACAGAATTGTGTTGCATATCTCATAGGTGAAAGAATGCAATAACTCTTATACCAAAGAATACAGGTTGCTGAGGGTTGCCTGTATTTAAATTTCTGATCCCAAATTAAAGAAGCTGTAGGGTCACTGATATGCACAACCTGTACAAATGGGAAGAGCTACATGTCAGAGCATTTCTGTATAACATGAAAGAACCTACATGATGTCTCAATAAACTATAAACTGAAGGACAATTTTGCAGACAAATAGAAAAGCGGCAAAATAGTAATCCAAAAGCATTTTGCCAAAAGGTATTTTGGGAATGTTTATCTCATTTGTCATAAAACCATGATTTATGGTAATCAAATTTAGAAATTATAAATTGAGAGTTTACTGACTCTATTTCCATCAGAAATGGTGTAGGCCAAAAATGTGGGTCTGTATCCTGAAAATGCTGAAAAAGTATCCAGTGCAAGACCAATAACCTTCTAAAGACAGACTGATTCACTGCAACTTCTTTTCATAAGTAGGTACCAGGCTTTTGTGAGCCAGGCTTTAAAAGATCAGATTTTTCTCATTTATTTTCTTTTAAGTGCTAGAAGTCAAGGTCGCCACATCTTTTTTGGAGCCATGATAATTCTGATATTTTCTTTAAATGGAAGCAGATAGTTTTCAAAAGCTGGGACATTCAGAATATCACCAGATGTTTTGAAACTCGATAAAATTGCAAGACTAATTTTCTTATCTGGCCTGACCTTGAGTAACATGGCTTTAGAAGTAGCAAGGCCAAATTGTTTTTGGACAAGAAAGCATTAGGAAAGAATATGTGATAATCTTCCACTGTAACTGAACTCTTTTTACCGTATCGTTTTTTGTTTTCGGCATTAAATGCACTAACTTGAAAATGGGTATGCTAAGAAGAGCAAGTTCTATCAGTCCCACTTGGTAATCAGCATTTTATTTCTCACAGGTACAGTTGGCCCATGTAACCTTCATCTGTGATGTATGATCCAGTGTGATCTCACCCTATTAGTTTATGGGAAGATAAAATCAGATATAGGCATTAGGTATTATTCAGAATAGGAATAGGAGGGCACAATTGGTGTATAATATGTATGTATGCATTATACTTGCAGAAACACTTGTTTTTTTATTTATTTTTTTTCCTTAAACTAGAAAAATGGCCACCTTACCAATAGTCATTGTGTCAACAGTCTACTTGGAAGAAAAAAGTAAAAGTCCCTGACTATAACTTGTCTGTTGTCACTGTACAGCTGTTCTTCTCAGCTAGTCCTTGATGCTGGCCAGGAAAAGAGAAAATCCCACATCAGTCATCTCAAATAAGAGTTGGAAAGGATAAAAGAAATAAGTCTTGTCCTTTCCTGTTTCTCAATAATGAAGTAAACTTTCCCTTCCTTTTTTCTGTGTGCACCCCTATTTTTCTCAAGTCCTGGTATCAGCAAACAAATCGTCTACTCTTCACCCTCCAAAACACAAGCCATTGAAAAAGTCTTATTCT